TGTTGATGATGCCATTGTCCTGTTTGATGCTTTACTACAGTCAGCATTCCATCGTCATCTGTTGCCTTACAAAGTTATTCCGCGGACAGGAGACTACATTAGGCCTCGTCCTACTATGCGGGATGCATCCCGACCCTGGATCACTCCGGACCTCAAGTGTGCTGTGAAACTGAAGCGAGATTTGTATAGCATTTATAGGAAGTATCCAACCAGTGAAAACTTCATTGCCTTTAAGCGCAAGCGTAACGAAGTGAAATGTTTGTCACGTACCCTCCATCGTCAGTATGTACAGTCGGTTCATGCCACCCTGTCTTCCCATGATCGCCCTAGTCTCCATCAATTTCTCCGCCATCTCCGTAAGAACTGTAGTCGGGAGCCGATCCGATCAATGACAGCTTCAGACGGCACGGTAGCAACAGATCCCGCAGACATAGCAGACATATTGAACACGCAGTTTACGTCGTTTGGACTTCCTGACGACCCTACGTGGCCTATACCACCACTCACCCCTTCACCCTCAATACCTGCGTCCCTCCTATCATTGTCGACTGGTACAGCCCAAGTGAGGAAATAATTCCGTAATCTGAAAACTGGCAAGTCCCCTGGTCAAGACGGAATTACCAACGAAGTTTGGAGAGCTCTTGCTCCGTCTGTTGCCTATCCTGTGTCAATTATCTTGAATATGTCATTTCGTGAAGGGAAATTCCCAGCCATGTGGAAAACTGCGGTAGTCGTGGCCACCTACAAAAATAGAGGACCACGCACCACCCCCAGCAACTATCGCCCTATCTCATTGCTCTCTACTTTATCAAAAGTGTGCGAACGTGTTGTATATGACATCATTTATGATCATGTTCGCATTTCACTTTCGCCAGCACAGTCGGGCTTTTGTCGGGGTGACTCCACCAGGTACCAGGTTACCCGCCTCGTGCAAGACATCCACACCACCCGGAACGCCCATAACCATGTTGGTTTAGTTTTCTTCGATCTCGCAAAGGCCTTCGACACTGTTTGGCACAGGGGTCTCTTAGCTAAGCTGCGAACAGTATATCGCATTGATGGCAAGGCTATCGGCTAGCTCTCATCGTATCTCTCTAACCGACATCAGCTTGTACGCCTCTCAACTGTGTTATCGGAGCCTTTACCCGTTACTTCTGGAGTCCCCCAGGGTTCAATACTTGGGCCACTGCTATTTCTCCTGTATATTAATGACCTCCCCGATACTGCCCCTGGTGTCAGCCTTTTCGCTGATGACACAGCTCTGCTTTGCTCCAATGCTTGCCCTATACGCCTGCACAAAGCCATGCAAGATAGCATTGGGAAAGTTATAACCTGGATGCATGATTGGAAGTTGCAGCCAAACGTTGATAAAACGGCAGCTATGTACATTTCCCCCTCTCCCCCTTCCCTGCCACTTTGTTTTCCTTCTTCAAGTGTTGCTATTCGCATTGTTGAAGAGCATAAGCATCTTGGCGTTATTATTGACTCTAAATTGTCGTGGTCACCCCATGTGCAGTATGTCTGCAAGCGCACAAGCTCCATCCTTGGGGCTCTTCAAGCCCCCTGTAGACATCTTCCTCTTTCTTGCAAACGCTTGTTTTATCGTTGCTATATATTGCCCTTACTTGACTACTGTGATACTGCTTGGTGTGGCATAACTACTACTGTATTGAACAAGCTAGAAACCCATAACCGCATGCTCCTTAAAATCTTATTTAGCAAAGATCGTCGCTTTCCCTCCGCTAGTCTTTACGAAATTGCCAAGATCAGTCCCCTTTCCACTCGACATAAGTACCACCTCTGTGTTATCATACATAAAATATTACTAAATAAAATACCCTTGCATATGCAGGCTTATAATTGGTTCTCCGAAACACGGAACACCCGGAACTCACTCAGTCTCCCACGCGCTGCCTCCACCCTATTCACTAGATCCCCGATCTTTGCTGGCTATGTGTTTTGGGCAACATTACCAACGCAGGCCAAGACCAGCACGTCGATGGATAATTTTGTTGCTAAAATCTCTGCTCAATTATAGGTTTCATGTATATCCTGCTGGTTTGTCTCCTCCTTTGCCTTCTTTGCCTCTTATTTGTATTCTTTTATCTGTTTTACTGCTGTGGTTGGCTTTCACCCTTGTCTCAGTTTTATTGGCCGTCATCATGATGTGCCATGAGATAATGATATAAATACAAAATACAAAAATAGACATCTACATGACTGTATATACGTTATAATTATTACGCTATCCGCCTACATGCGATTCCCGGGCTGGTCGACAGGTGGCTCAGCCAGCCTGCTAGTGGGATCTCGGCCTCGCACACAAATCCACACAAAATGTTACTGCACTGAATGCATTCCCCCGATACACTTCGCATATATACTCAGGCCTCAGTTACACGACAACGATTGAAACACGTTTTTCAATCGTTTTCGAAACGATTTTTGCTGTTTACAAGAAAACGAGGATCGTGTACACTGCAACATGTTTTTCGGCGCGCAATGGTCACGTGCAATAAGTTGGCCTGGCGCGGCGCAGGCTGGCGGCGGCATGTTTTGAGTACAAGGCTCGTACTATACTAGTAAAACGTTTTTGCCGTTTACACGAGAACGAAACGGAACGAAAACGACTGAATAACACTTTGAAGCTGTTTTTTGTTTGAAACGTTTTTGAAACGTTTTTCAGCGTTGTCGTGTAAACGCTCTTATCAAAATGGGTGGAAGCGTATTCTTTTGAAAACGTTTTTGACAAAAACGCTTTTCAATCGTTGTCGTGTAAACGAGGCCTCATTCTCTTGATGGTACCGTACTCTTGAGGGTACGGGACAGGTACGGGATAGCGCCAGGCATGTCGATGGCACAAGCAAACAAAAATATTGTGGCCAGCTGTCTTTGCTGGTACGGTACAGTACGGGACAAATACGGGATAGCGCCAGGCGTGACACAAACAAACACACAAACAAACACCAAACGAGAGAGCTTGGAAGCTCAGGGCCCTACGCTATGCTTTTTTGCCTTGATGACCTAGACAAAAAAAGCATAGGGATGTTAAAAATTCTTTAAAAAATTCATTTTTTTAAGACATAACCTGGGATTCGAACCCGCACTATCGCGCGCCCTGCATGCATCCCCCGATACACTTCGCACACATACTAATTCTTCCAAGTTGTTTCACATTGTGATCTTGCATTTGAAAGCCCTATTAGAATATGCATTGTGGCCAGCCGTCTTTGATGGCATGGTACGGTAGGGGATAGGTACGGGACAGGTACGATCGAGGGTAATACGACACCGTCTCCCGTACCGTACCGTACCGTACCATCAAACAAAGCTGGCCACATACAGCTGCCCGCAATATTCAAATAGGGCTTTCAAAGGCAAGATAATAACATAAACGAACTTGGAAGAATGGGTATGAATGCGAAGTGTATGGGGGAATGCATGTAGGGCGATAGTGCGGGTTCGAATCCCAGGATATGCCTGAAAAAAAAGGAGAATTGAAAAATGTATAACATCCTATGCATTTTTGCCGTCAGATACGGATAGCGCCAGGCGTGACACAAACAAACAATCAAACACACAAACAAACACACAAATACCAAACGAGAGAGCTTAGAAGCTCAGGGCCCTGCGCTATGCTTTGTTGCCTAGCTCATCGTGAATGTTGTTAGAACTGATGGAAATGCTTTTTTCCTTTGATTAGCTACATTATTGTATTTCAAAAACGTTTCAATGAGATACTGAAGTAACGTCTTCTGCATAGCTATGGGACCGGCGCTGACTCTGCCGATTACGGGCGTTCTGGAGTCGCCGGGATGTCTGTCCTGACGTTTCCTGGGACCGGCGCTGACTTTGCCGATCACGGGCGTTTATCTTCTTATTATTATTATACTGACGACAACTAACATCCATTCTGATTGCATTTACTCGTCTCCCTACTTCGTATTTCTTTCCAGAAAATCTCCCCATACAGCAGGGAGTCGTTTACATATGACTCCCTGCTATACATCTACATGATTGTATATACGTTATAATTATTATGGTATCGGACTACATGCGATTCCCGGGCTGGTCGACAGGCGGCCCAGCCAGCCTGCTAGTGGGATCTCGGCCTCGCACACAAATCTACACAAAATGCTACTGCACTGAATGCATTCCCCCAATACACTTCGCATATATACTCATTCTCTTGATGGTGCCGTACTCTTGATGGTGCGGTACAGGTGCGGGATAGCACCAGGCATGTCGATGGCACAAACAAACAAAAATATTGTGGCCAGCTGTCTTTGCTGGTACGGTACAGTACGGGACAGATACGGGATAGCGCAAGGCGTGACACAAACAAACAAACAAACAAACACCAAAGCTGTGTGGACCCTGGCTAGCGCCAGACGTTACTGAAGTAACGTCTTCTGCATAGCTACGGAAATTAAAGCTGTGAGGACCCTGGCTAGCGCCAGACGTTACTGAAGTAACGTCTTCTGCACAGCTACGGGAATAATTATGTTGTGGAGTTGGAACATACCTGAACTTCCTATCCTTACCGCTGCAACCTGCTGTCGTCTTAGTCATCAGCATTGTTTCTGACTATCTGACTCTCGTTTTCTTTGATCTTTGTTGCTGATTCCCCGTTTGACATTGTCTCTCTAATTCTTGGTGTTTACGTCGACTGTTCAATCATTCTCTTACTTGTTTACTAGAGAGTTTACGACTTTACGCTTCACCCTTTTTTTTCAATTTTCGAATCTCAGAAGAGGGAAATCAGTTCTAAACCTGTTCATTGTTGACTAAATGTTATGCAATGCGCATTAAAAGCATTCTCCTTGCGTCTTTTGGAGCAACCAAGAGTGCCGCAACTCGTCTGATACATTGCTTGGGTCATATGCAACTTCGTGCTCATGGAGGAGACTTTCTGTTGCTCGGGCGCCTCATAATAAATCACTGCTCTATTTTGCTTCACCTTGCATTCATCAGAAAGAAAGAAGTCGGTTTGTACTTACCTACAATGTTGAGTTGATATGTCCGTGTAGAGTTGTTATCCACTGTTCTGCAATGGTACAGTCCAGTGTATGAAGTGTCCAGTATAGGATGTGCTGTGGTGTTCACTACAAAAATAATACCTACTGAGAAGGCACCTGTCTCAGCCAACACTAGACTACCATCAGTCTTCTCTAGTCGAATGAATGGTCCTGGTCCAAAGAACACCCAGCACGCAGGTAGGTAGTTGGTAACATCGGCTGTAGGTTGTCCATCACCAAATGTCACACGGAATGGTGCTAACTGTCCTGTACCAGCAGCATTGAGAATGAGAGGTTGACCTGCATGAGTACACACAACAGTACATTGTCACAATACTACCTCAATACATCACTAGCACTGGGACTAAGTATTGGGAAAATAATATTTGATGTGCCGCAATATACCCACTAGGGAAGGAAATGAAAGATACTTTATAAACCAACAAAAACCAGAGTGCTGGTAGATCTACCACACCTGACTGTCGAAACGGCGCATACACCCTTCTAGAAACCACTCTCTGGGCGTGAAAATTCAGAAAAGGAATGCTTCACGATAATTATGTATCTATTTGCGCATTGTTTCTTCACAATAATGATCACAGCTCGCAGGCAAAGACAAAAAAATACATAGTTGGATTATAGTGATGCCGAGGGTTTTTGCGCTCAGCCCACCTGAGGTCTCGACGTCATGGGGACATAAAACGCACCATAAAGAAAGAAGAAAAATGAAAAGAGAGGCAGTACATTAGAACCTAATAGAAGGAGGAGAAAGATAACCCGTTAAGAGCCGCCCCATACTTGAACTTGCTGACTATCATGATCAATGCAAAACTTCAAAAGATCGTAAATCAGTCCAATTTCACTCAAATCCAGTGATCGAAATATCCAGGGCGAAGAGACAACTCTCACCTGTCGGGGGAAACAATCCGCGAAGCGCTGCGAGCAACGGTTCCGGAGATAAATCACTCGTAACTTGAGCCAAGATCGTGGCAATTTCAAGAGCGCGCAGGGCAGGGCGACTTCAGTGTTGGGAAATTTTGACACTTTTCGTCTTGCTGGTTTACTCGAATTTGCACGGGCTTCACCGTTGACATTGTCAAGAGTACACAGCGAAAAAATTGGAACTCCACGATCGAGTAAAATGAAATAACTGGAGCGGGAGGCAATTGGACGCATTTGGGGCATTTTTCGTACTGTCGCTGCGATCTAGCGCTGGATAGACGGTGTGCTGGCTATCATGATCGACCTCATTCTCTTTCTCTCGTGGAGACCGTTCCAGGAAGCCCTAGATTGTGAGGATTGAGTGACTAGAACTGAAGCTATGATCCAAGGAACACGAAAAAATGCAGAATTTTAAAAATTTCCTGTGGCTCTTAAAGGGATAAAACACACAGCGTTAGGAGGAGAAGGAAAGAAAAGAAGAACATACGTTATCGGGAATAGCATGTGGAGGGGAATTTGAAAGTCACGGGGTGAGGCAGATATGATGCTGATACTCAGAGATTGTCATGTGCCCACGACCGTTGGTCTTCAACTAGCGGTTTGCGGCAACTTTCAAATGTTGCGCGTTCTTCGTGCAGAATGTACCAGAGACAACCCTGCCGGGCAGCATTCCAAACAGGGACAACTACGTGAGGGCAGGCTCGACACAGGTTGTTTCAGCGACGGACTTGAAGTTCATGTGCCAGTTGATGTGCGTGGTATTACACCTCTGCATCCTACTACGGGTGGAGTGGACTGTTTGTCGCATGGCGCATAGCCGATACACCCCAAGCGATATACACATAGTCAGTTAGTACACACACTTGAGAGGAATCAAAAGCGTTTCTGCTGTAACTCTGAGAGTTTCATGGTTTTAACCGATCATCAGCAACTTGACTACAATTTTCAGAAGATAATTATTATTGATATAGGCTGCAAGCTTGGATCATGGCGCGAATGGATGATCCGGGCTGATAGTGTAATTATGAAAATGATTATGGGAGGTGGTTGATGGGGTGCAAAAATAGGCGCAAAAAAATGAATACATTTTAGGCCAAGCTTGCAGCCTACTTGAAGTATATCAATCATATCTTCTGAAAATTAGTAAAGCTGCTGTCTGATGGTCGGTTGAAACCGTGAAACTCAGAGTTAGAACAGAAACGCTTTTGATTCCTCTCAAGTCTGTGTACTAGGCTCTGCACCTTGGTGTATTGAGCACTCTCACGAGCAACCACAACTCCCTCCGAGGTGGTCAGTTAGTACTGTGACAATATGACAATGTGTTCAGTGTGACGATACAATGTGTGTAGTGTGATGATACAATGTGTGTGTAGACAAACATAACGATTATTTATTTGTTGTGGTAACATCTGTCATCAGTGTGTCATGCCTCTTACCTCATTGTAGCTTCATCCGTGGTCCGCTTCCATTGTCCTTGTTCTATATTCTATTCTATTTCTTCTATGGCTAGTCGTTTCACTTCTCATCTTTCCTTGAAGTAGTTTATTTAAATTGTAATTGTTTTCCTGTAACGATCACTCGTTGTGTTATTTGTTTGCGTCTTGACTTCATTATTTATTTCGCCAGCGCCTGCAAGGCTGCATGCGCATGCTAGATTCTGTGGTCACGCGTGACTGATGATTTCATCCCCCCCTTGCTGCGCGCAGTCGCGTAGCTGGTCTTGTTGTTTTCTTTGCTTCGCTCGAGTTGCCGTTTGGTCGACTTCGTTTTCAGTTCTATTTTCTTCACTCAATGGTGGCCGTGGTGGCTGTCGGAGGAATAGCAGCTCCAGCCACGATGGGCCTCTATCGGTTGCTCTGCCGCCATTTTGGATGCCATGTTAGACGTGTCTTTTTCTGGCCAAAGTGCTCGTGATTTGCTGTTCTGGTTGTTCTTTTCTTGTTCACTCTCCATTTCCTACTTGCATTTTTCGTGATTCATACCTTTCCACCAAGAGGCTGCCGTTTGAGCTGGAGTGTTATATATGGCGAAGAGGGGTGATAGAGAGACTAGATAGCTCCAGCTTCTCCCACAGTACATAAGTTAGTGCCTCCGCTCGGTTACCAGAGCCTCCAATATCCTAAGGCCATCCCAAGAAGCTAAAGAGGCCAGTATTTGTCACAGCCTATCAACTTGTTCATTCAAATTTTGTTAATGATAATTATTATGTGAATGACGCTGCCGATGCTCTTGCTGCCAATGGTAAGCTTGAGGCCTCCACGGAAAATACAACACTATACAGCTTAGTATCCTCAGCTCAGTGCCCTCAGGACGCTGTACAGATCTTGCAGATACCTACAGGCGGCCTGCATGAGTGGGGTTGGCAGTGGAAAGTGATGTTCGAGCCCGCCAGGTCACAGGCTATGACTGCAACCCTCGGAGGCACTGACTTCGACCTGCCCAAAATCCTGTTTGGTGGCACTCCTGCACCGGAGGAAACCAGTATATTATCATTGATTTGAATTCGATTTGGCTCCAAACTGTCCTTCGCTAGTCACCTCAGGACCCTAACCATCAGCCTCCAGGAGCGCCTTAGCTTTCTCCGACGAGCAGCTCATATCATAGCCAACAATCGCATGTCATCGCGTACATTGAAAATCAACATTATTTTGCGAATCGACCTTTTTTCCCGGATCACTTTTCAATGAGGACGAAACAAAGTCGACCGAACGAAGCCTAGAGGACGACAATCACCCTCTCCACTTCACCATCACGATACTGACATAGATACGAGATGAAACAACTAAAAGAGTCACAACAAAACTGTACGGCCATTTTCGAGCTGACTTGGGTCTGACTTTGGTTTAACTTTGGTCTGAGAATTTTCTATAACTATCAAAAATGTACGAGGAGCACTCAAACATAAGTTGCAGACGTACCTTTATCGCTCTCTACTCCTTTTTCAAGGCACAAAAGTCGACTTTCCACCTTCAAACCAGGAACCAGATATACCAGTGATCCTTTTCAGCTGCTCCACGAGCGCAGGAAATGTTCACCAAGGGTCGCAGAGCAGCATCCATGCCAGAAAAAGAGCTATACAACGAGTTAGACTACATGCCTGAGTACATGAGTACATGCCTGAGTACATGCAGAAAATAGTCAATTTCAGCGTTTCTGCTCCAAACAGCAACTAGCTTCGACTACAAACAAAGATTACACCAAAGGATCAAACAACAACCATTTTCTTCAGTTTTTTTGCAGATGGCTTCCTTGTGCTTGGCCCAGCACGCGTCGGCGGAGTACAAAAATTACAACTCTCAGATTTCCTCAATTGCTGGCCATGAAATTCTAACGCCAGCCAGCTGTCCAGAGGACTGCAATTAAGTGTGAAAGATAACTCTCCATGCTGTACGGGGGCATATTTCAACTACTTGCTGCCATTGCAACACTCCTAGGACAGTTTGTGGGGGTTCTCAGCAGATCAAGCAGGAAATACAGCTCATCTTACCTCTGCCATCACTGATCATGGTCTGTTCCGAGTAGCGTTCCAGTCACGTTCACGATCGATGGCCGCGTGTCGTGATCGGGGAAGCGTCTTTATACGTCACAGAGCACGCGATCTCACCGTGCATCTTGCAACAAAATTCAAAAACTGCGCTCACGCCTTCAGACAGTTCAGTCACTTTTGCATCTACAGTCGCACAAAACATTATTGATGGTGCAAGAAGAAGCTTGTCGTTTGGAGTGACAAGTGATCACCGCTGCTTTTCCTTGTCAGAGCCAACAATACACTTTGTTCTGCGGCCTTGGAAGTAGTGTTGGAGTAGATATTGCTGAGGAGACGTCGCGGAGGGGCGAGCTTTCCTGCGCAGGTATGACTTTGGCCGTCTTTCAGCATGGTCGAGTGGAAAAATTCAAAAACGTTTATTTCAAGAAAACCCCAAAAGGAAGATGGGGGACATGTCAGCACTAGAAGAGGTGTTCTACTATCTGCCGGTGTATAGTTCTGGCCTATAGAGGACGTAGCTGGCTGTTTTGCCAGTGCTTGTAAATTGGCTATTTTCAAGACGATCAGTTGTCCAAGCAAAGCAGAATATCAGCATTTTTGGCAAACGACTTTTCTATTTATCGATCATTCAGTCCACATTTGAGTTTGGCAGCAATGCATATATTCATAGCTAATCACAACCCCTATAATTATGACAAGCTTCTTACTGCCAGCCGCGTAGCATTAAAGAGAATATTTTCGTTGGATAGAATGACTCCCACCACTCTTCTATACAGTCATACTAACTTGTACGCCCTTGAGAAACGCCTCAACTTCAAAACCTATGTATTTGTTTACCGCTGCCTGAATGGACTTGCTAGTCCTCTTTTGCGAGACGGCTTTACCTTGCGCGCCCATGGTGCTCGCACTCCAGCCACCACCCGTGGCCATGTCTTTGCTGCTCCTGTTCTGCCCCCCCCCCCCTGCTAACACCCGATATGGCTTTAGTGCAATTTCTTATTTGGGCGCTGCCAGGTGGAATACACTTCCACCGGCTTGCCGCATGTGTAGTTAACCAGCTGAATTTCGCTCATCCATCAAATTATACCTAGGGTTCCCTGTAAAAAGGCGCTAACGCCTGTTGGGAATTCTCTAGTAAAAGAAGAATAAATATTTAAAAAATTAATAATAATTTGTAGCGTCAGGAGGTGATGGACCTCGTATTCTGGGATCCTGACGTGGCTAAGCGGTACTGCTCCAGGAACTCTTCTAAGGTGAGGCAATGTTGGCTTGATGAAGTTTTGTTCATAGCTTGTTCGTATACGCTGTGGCGTGACTCATTTCTAGACCCATAAATAATGTGATATTTAGGCCATTTTTGAGGGGTGTGCGGATTTCAAGGTTCCCTTCAGAAACTCTTTCAAGGGCTTTGCATAATCGATCCACCCCCCAAGGGAACCTACCTGCAATTTTTGTGCGAAATCGGAGAGATCCACTTGCACACATACTTTCGTATTCTCAGACATGCTCTTAATACGCCTGCTTGCAAAATATTCATGCACTCACGCGATCGCGGCAGACGAGTAGCACGAGTACAACTAGTTTTCGTGCATGCAGTTTATTAGTAGATTCTATATCTACACTTTTCATAACGAGGAGTTCGCAAAAAACCAAGGTCGAATTTTTTAGGGGGGTGCACGTGCCCCCCGTACCCATCACGGGTGACGCCCCTGTTACCAGTGATCCTTTTCAGCTGCTCCACGAGCGCAGGAAATGTTCACCAACGGTCGCAGAGCAGCATCCATGCCAGAAAAAGAGCTATACAACGAGTTAGATTACATGCCTGAGTACATGAGTACATGCCTGAGTAGATGCAGAAAATAGTCAATTTCAGCGTTTCTGCTCCAAACAGCACCTAGCTTCGGCTACAAACAAAGATTACACCAAAGGATCAAACAACTACCATTTTATTCAGTTTTTTTGCAGATGGCTTCCTTGTGCTTGGTTAGAACTTCCATGAAGTTCTAACGCCAGCCACCTGTCCAGAGGACTGCAATTCACCCCAGTCTGGCTGTCCGCGGGACTGTTGCTGCTCTCTCCTTCATGTACAGAATGCATTTGATCGCTGGTCCTCCTCAGCTACTTGCTGTATTGCCACCGTATAGCGTTTTTTCCAGCCAATCCCAGAATCAGGAACCGGCACAGTAATGCCAATAGCTGCCCTTATCAACTGTCAGACCCCTCCCCCTGTGTCCGCTCCACCCGTCTTGACGCAGTCGTTCCCGTGCTACTGTATTGGCGCATGGAAATCCTTACCTGACACGCTGCTGGCGCAACACCCGCACAATACACGTTTTCAGTCAAGCAAGAAAAAAGTCTACAGACACCTGAGAGACAGCATTTGGTACTGGACAACAGATTTCCTGTAATGTTCGAGCTCGTTGCTTGCCAGACCCGAAAAGTCGCGTACCTGGCCTTGCTCAGAGTTCTCAGCTGTGTTTTGCATGCATGGTACACGTGTACATCAATCCAAAAACTGATAATTCACAATCTCCTTCTTTATCAAAATTTATAAGGAACAGTTTGTAGGCAACCTGCCTACACTCAAGAGAGCACTGTATTTCACAAAAATCCATTAGAAGTATCGTTTCAACGTTTCAGTTTTCATGACCATCATCAGGATAATAATCAGAATGGTGGTCATGAACACCGAAACGTTACAACGCCTGCTTGCAAAATATACTCTCGTTATCTTGTTTTTGATTTTTCTAACAACCTAAAGGTATACCATAAGTTTACAAGTTATCTGTTTTGTCCAACACTAACGGTTATAAGCAGCACACTGTTGAACTTTTGGTCCTCTTTTTTTAATTTAATCCTTGGCTTTCCATCCGAGTTTAATAGTACCGGCAATTTTACCTTCACTCTACCCATTCTACTTCTCCATAATTAAATCTAGCTTCGATTCAATTTTTCTTTTTCTCTTTTTCTCGGTGCGTGCTCGTGGCATTGAAACCGAGACATTTGGTCGGTTTCAATGCACGTCACTATTTCTGCTGTATAGTACAGCCCCTACTCAGTAGCTGCTTGTTTTTCCCACTTATAATATTTTTATTACGAATTTGGAATAACATTGGAAAAACGAAGTCTGAAGAAAATGTTGAACGGTCTCTGCTGGGATGACGACAACACAATAGCTCAGTGGTTAGAGCATCGCTGGCTACAAGCGAAGGTCCCTGGTTCGATTCCTGGTGGTGACACACAATTTTGTCTTTAGACTTTTCCCGTTTGTGTCTTTTCCCTCAAACCAGTGAAAATAGTAAAAGAATAAAATAATGAATGGATAATTACCTTTCACACCCTGATTCTCCAAACAGATACATACTACCATGAGCCAGCAGGCTGTGCATTTAATAAAACGAAAATAGAAACATTCCACAGTGATTAGTAACATTCAGTATTCCGTACTATATATGGTGCCGTCACGTGAACACGAACATGAATGCCGACACTTATTTTAGAGAGTATGAACAGGTGGGGAATAGCCCTTTCCCAAAGATGCTAGCCACTTTTTTCGCAACTCCTGGTTGTTTTTGGAAGAGATCGCAACTTTCGCAACTTTTCGCAACCGTGAGCAGAGAAGCACGTTGGAGGTGACCAGTAAAAATCCAACGTCGATATATCTCGTTATTTTGAAACGCAGAGCTCACTGACTTGCCAGTTTGAGCACTGCAGCGAATTACTTTCGAGCCTGCTGTGGAAACATAATTGTCATTGCCATTGTTATCAGGTTCTGCCTGACTGTCTCTGTGAGGCTCTGATGAGTCCGCAAATGTCCGCAAGTCGAGTCCCTCTGATGTCGATATGTTTGTGTATCATTTTGTTCACAGCGATGTGCCAGTATATACCGGCATGATATTGTGTTTCTCACCAGCCAAGCGCAGCGAGATAGGCGAGAATTGATTTCTCGCGAAATATTTTCAGTTGCAAATATGGCATCTGGTGTCTTCTTTATTGTCGCTTCTTTTCCTGATTTCTTCAGCCAGTTTTGAGTCTCACCAGTGTCCCTGCCCTCCCACCCTTCATTCCTGTGCATATTGTCATTGCTTTTTTATCACGTTTTGCCTTGATGTGCTTGCCACGCCTACATGATGCGTAATCGTCATTGGGGATATAAACCCGGTTTTGTCCCTCACAACTGCGTCCGTCGGCGCTAGGGTTTTTTTCCCGGCTGGCCCGGTCCAGGAAAATGAATCTGACGGTCCCAAGTAGTTTTTGCATCATGGCCTATTTCTGCTTACCACTGGCACGCCTGTTTTATCTCAAACACTCTGTTCTCAGTCCTTGCTTGCTTCCATACCTCACTCGTGTTATCCGGTTCACATCTGGCTGCGGCCAGCTACCCTTCTCTTTGTGTGTTGTCGCTATTGCTGTCTATGTCTCTGTGTGTGCCAGTATATGTGGAGCGAGAACAAATATTTAAATATCTCGTAAAAATTATGTCCATTCACCTAATGTACATGTAGGCTCGCGTGTTCACATGGTGTCAGTTATCCTGCAGCATACATCCTCTCCTAAATTTATCACATAGTATTGTGGTAACGTCAGAATGGCCACGTTTTCAAAAAGCAGCGTACACCTCAACTCTCCGCGCCCGTCAGTTGCGCAACGATAGCCAACAAGTCATCTACTGCAGTAGTCACACCCATATGAATTAATAACTCACCTCTCTAAAACCCGTAAGCACTCCAATGGCTTTGCGTCTCCTTTCCATTGTGCACACAATATACGCAAACAAGCTGATACTGGATACTCGCCGCTGCTAGCAAATACAACCTGGTTCTTTGTAAATTTAATTATACTTCAGGACATATCGTTCTAATGCGATCAGCACCAGTCGCGCAATGGGTCACCCACTTTAGACGCCGGTGTTTCGCACATTGGGCATGAGCACTCACGTTCTGTAGAGTGTGGAAGGGATGGGATGTTGCCAGAATTATCCTCACATACATGTACCTGGATAGTATCTCACAGCAGATACTAAAGTTGACAGTAAGACTGGAACTCAAAAGTCTATAAAAAGACTAGAGAAGCCAGCTGGTGCAACCACATGACAGGTATTTGACATAACTGTTGTCAGTTGTTCACAGACAAGTCAAGGTTAACTACCGCTCACGCGCGTGTTGTCAAATACGAACACCACCACTATCTCGAAAAAATGGAGAGAAAGTCATGAAATGTGGAGCTCCGTTCTGTTGGTATTCATGGCCATGTGCTTACAATTGTGAAAGCTTTGTATTTTCGGTATTTCATGTGATTGTCGCCTTGGAGTCGACCAATGACAGATCACAGGCTGGAAAGCGCGGTCCTGCCTGATCAAAGTTGCTGGAACTAGATCCACTGTCCGTCGTCTAGTGCCAACTGGCAGGAACGGAATCCACTGCGTTCATTGGCTCGCGAACTTGTCGCGTGTATCATAAATACAAGGACAACGGAAAGAGCAAAACAGTTAGTAGATCAAAATAATATTATGGTGTGCGTGTGCACGTTCTTTGGCTTTGGTGCGCACGGGAAACACTTTCCAGTCACTCATACTCGGGCAGTACCGCTGTTCATCCAGCAGTCGTCGTCCAGATTTTGATTCTGATCTTGATTGTCGATCAACTCGATCAAATCCGTCGATCTGCTATTTCACGCAATGGTTGGCGCACGGCCAGTTTCAAGAGTATGAGGACGCAACAGTCGAGATTTGCTCGATATTTGTTGCACTTCTGCAGGGCTTTCCTGCTAGTGAAATTCGATTCGTTAAATAATTCAACTTAAATTCAGGGAAGGAAATGGTTAGTGTTTGGAGTGACAAGGGTTGTCAGTTCAAAATATTTGCCAGACTCGGTAGAGGTGACCACGCTGCAGTGTTAAGTGTGCTGGCGTCTGGAGCGGTGCCTGGTGTTGGAGCTGGAAGAGGCGCTTTCAGCCGTCAGGTAGGAAATTGGCAATAGTGCAATGTGGTGAAGTGAAAATATTCAAATTTGTTTATTTCCAGAAAACGTGGAAAACTTTTACGAGACATGTCCTGATAGGTAGTGGAGATAGTCCACTGTCCTGCAATGCATTGTTCAGAAAATATGCGCCGCAAATCGTTCCCGCTGTGGCCGTTGAAATCTGGCTATTTTAGCGAAGCAATTTAGTGATATTTGGAGATGATGGCCATTGCGTTCCTAGATGTAGCCATGGCTCTATGTGGTGTTGATGTAAAGACTACTCAGGCGAGTTAATGTTCGCATGATGGTGGTTTGTTCTCACCTCACTCGTGTACGCCTTACTAGCGCTTGTTCTTGGACCCAATATTCAGTCGTATTTTGGGCCCATTTCGAGGTGGTCCCCAGTTCCTAGGTGTCTGTAACTTATGCAACGAGCACTTTCGCATGGTTTCTTCAGTCAGTTTTGAGTCTTACCAGTGTCCTTGCCCTCCTACCCTTCAGTCCTGTGCATATTATCCTTGCTTTTTATCACTTTTTTTGCCGTGATGTGCTTGCCATGCCTACATGATGCGTAACAGTCATTGGGGATATAAACCCGGTTTTTGCCCTCACAACTGGTTACGTCGGCGCTAGGGTTTTTTTCCCGTCTGGCCCGGTCCAGGAAAATGTATCTGACGGTTCCAAATTGTTCTGCATCATGGCCTATTTCTGCTATCCACTGGCACGCCTATTGTATCTTAGACCCTCTGTTCTCACTCCTTGCTTCCATACCTCCCTCGTTTTCCGGTTCACATCTGGCTGCGGCCAGGCACCCTTCTCTTTGTGTGTTGTCGCTATTGCTGTCTATGTCTCTGTGTGTGACAGTATATGTGGAGCGAGAACTAATTTTTCATATATCATAAAAAATATGTCCATTCACCTATTGTACATGTAGGCTCGCGTGTTCACATGTTGTTAGATATCCTTCGGCATACATCCTCTCCTAAATATATCCCATAGTATTGTGGTAACGTCAGAGTAGCCACGTTTTCAAAAATCAGCGTACATTTCCACACTCCATGCCCATCAGTCGTGCAACGATAGCCAACAAGTCATCTACTTCGAAGTAGTCACACCCATATGAATAGATAACTCACCTCTAAAACCCGTAAGCACTCCAATGGCTTTGCGTCTCCTTTCCATTGTGCACACAATATACGCAAACAAGCTGATACTGGATACTCGCCGCTGCTAGCAAGTACTACCTGGATCTTTGCAAATTTAATTCTACTTCAGGACATCTCGTTCCAATGCGATCAGCACCAGTCGCGCAATGGGTCAACCACTTTGGACGGCGGTGTTTTGCACATTGGGCATGAGCACTCACGTTCTGTAGAGTGTTGCAGGGATGGGATGCCGGTTGCCAGACCTATCCTCGCATACACGTACTTCGAAGTACCTGGATGGTATCTCACAGCAGATACTAAAGTTGACAGTAAGACTGGAATTCAAAAGTCTAGAAATAGACTAGAGAAGCCAGCTGGTGCAACCAAATGACAGGTATTTGACATAACTGTTGTCAGCTGTTCACAGACATGTCAAGGTTAACTACCGCTCACGCGCGTGTTGTCAAATACGAACACCACCACTATCTCGACAAAAATGGAGAGAAAATCATGAAATGTGGAGCTCGGTTCTGCTGGTTTTCATGGCCATGTGCTTACAATTGTGAAAGCTTTGTATTTTCGGTATGTGATTATGGCCTTGGTGTCGACCAATGACAGATCACGGGCTGGAAAGCGCGGTCCTGCCTGATCAAAGGTGCTGGAACTAGATCCACTGTCCGTCGTCTAGTGCCAACTGGCAGGAACGGAATCCACTGCGTTCATTGGCTCGCGAACTTGTCGCGTGTATCATAAATACAAGGACAACGGAAACTCAGTTAGTAGATCAAAATAATATTATGGTGTGCGTGTGCACGTTCTTTGGCTTTGGTGCACACGGAAAAACGTTCCAGTCACTTATACTCGGGCAGTACAGCTGTTCATCCAGCAGTCGTCGTCCAGATTTTGATTCTGATCTTGATTGTCGATCACCTCGATCAAATCCGTCCATCTGCTATGTCTCGCAGTGGTTGGCGCACGGCCAGTTTCAAGAGTCCAAGGACCCGAAAATTGAGATTTGCCGCTATTTGTTGCACTTCTGCAGGGCTTACCTGCTAGTGTAATTCGACTAACTAAATTCAGCGAAGGAAATGGCGGGTATTTGGAGTGACAAGGGTTGTCAGTTCAAATTTCTTGCCAGACTCGGTAGAGGTGACCACGCTCTAGTGTTTGGTGTGCTGGCGTCTGGAGCGGTGCCTGGTGTTGGATCGTGAGGAGGCGCTTTCCGTCGGCCAGTAGGAATTTGGCAATGTTGCAATGTGGTGAAGTGAAAATTTTCAAATTTGATTATTTCCAGAAAACTTGGAACAATTTTACGAGACATGTCCTGGGTGGTAGTGGAGATAGTCCACTGTCCTGCAGTGCATGGTTCAGACAAATATACGCCGCGAATTGTTCTCGCTGTGGCCATTGAAATCTGGCTATTTTAGCGAAGCAATTTTGTGATATTAAATTTGTATATGATGGCCATTTCTCTCCTAGATGTAGCCATGGCTCTATGTGTTGTTGATGTGAAGACTACTCAGGTGAGGTAACGTCGGCATGGTGTTGGTTTGTTCCCAGCTCACTCGTGTCGGCTGTACCAGCGCTTGTTCTTGGACCCAATATACAGTCGTATTTTGGGCCCATTTCGAGGTAGTACCCAGTTCCTAGGTGTCTGTAAGTTATGCAACGAGCGCTTTCGCATGGTTGTTGTAGACCCCAAAGGAAACCTTCTTGCAAAATTTGAGCGAAATTGGAGAGATGGCCCAGCCCTGCTTTTCTGGTTTTCTCAGACATGCTCTCTTAAAGTTACTTCATTCTACATGTGATAACGGTTAGAAATAATGTGCATGGAGAAAATGAAAAAAGGGAATAAAAAGAACGGATGAAGTACGATGTGTAAAAAGAAGGACACGAATAAGTGTTCGTACTACATTCTTCAGGGATGATCGTCATTAAAAAAATGTACGGTTCGATTAAGACTGAATTCGATTTAGTTTTCAGCATCCGTAGGAACTGCACCACCCTGTAAAGATCTAAGGAGCAGATCCAGTTCCTAAAGAGTTGAGTAGATCAACCCACCAGGAAAGTGGTCAAAGACCGAAAATCCCATTCAATACATCTATGCTTCCCACGTGCCAGGTAGCCCTTTCCAAAAGAAGCCATAATTTTTCGCAACTGATGTTCTCCGCAAGGGTGCCGTAACTAATGCAAGTTGCTGAAACCGTTTCTATGTTTTAAGAAAGTGTTATGTTTCGTTGGCTGAGCGCAGCGAATGAAACGAAAAATGTATTTTTGCAAGCATTTTCACCATAGTTACGGCACCAGGATTGCGTCAGCTGGTTTTTTGTCAGTGTTCTCAAACTTTTCTCTTCATCGTGGTTTTTCTCTTTTCGTTGTAGTTTGCATTTTTGTTCGTCCGTGGAAGAGCTTGACCATGCCACAAACGAGAAGTAGCGTTTCGCTGTCAAGCCAATGCAGCAGCACCTGGTCATCCAACGCACCTCTCCACGCAGCACCGCATGTACGAACTCCAACAGCATCAACAGTTACCGCGAAAAGGTCGCAAGGTGTCCAACCGACGCCAAGCCCCCTCCAAGCGTTTCGCGTTTCGCTTGCACCCCTTGTTCAAACCCCAGTTCCACCCAGAAAAAAAGCGGACCCGGTCCGCTTTACCTGGAGCTGTGGGTACGGCCTAAAAGCGTATCCGTGCTGGCAACGTCGAGGAGCAAGTACCTGCTCCGGATCCTGTCAAGGTGGATTCCCCGGAGGTTGCTGGCTCCCCGCCAGCTTGGTTCGCGCAGGCCTTCGGACAGCTGTCAGAGGAGGTCCAGAACGTCAAGAGAGACACGAGGGCTGCGCGGGCTGAGCTGGCAGCCTCCAATTCGAACCAGGTCACGTTGAAGCAAGCTGGCCTGCAAAAGCAATTCGACGTAAACCAAACTGTGCTCGATGGCGTGGAGGGAGCGCTCATTCAAGTGCCATCAGGTCATGACGCGGCTACATACCTAGCAAAATGTAAGGCGACCCTGACCCTCCGCCAGAATCATCTCCGGATTGCGGACGCTTACGATTAGAAAACAGTCGAAGTATATGAAAACGGTGTGCTGGGTGACGGGATGGCAGATGACAAGAGGATTGCTGAGGTGGCTGCCACAGCACGGCGGATAGCCGCACGTCCTGATAGTACGCGGAAGCATCATATGCCGAATTTCTGCACCCCCAGCCAGCATTATGTCGCGACCGCTTGCACAGTTCGGCCGAAGAAAAAAAGGCTTTGGGGCGTTCAGAGATAGAGGCAGAGTTCTGGGCTCTGCGGAAGTCACCTGCTATGCCTGTGGACAGGTGGGCCACATGGCCAGACTATGCCTCAGCCAGCAGCGTGGTCCACGGCAACACAAACCGCGATTTGGTGGAGCAGCCAATGGGCAATTCGGCGGCCCCAGCATGTTTAGTGCTTCACCAGCGGCAGCAGCCCTCATGCCAGCCCAGCACCCACAATAAGATAAGTGTGCACGGGAGGCTTAAGCCATGTGTTAGTTTTTGGCGTGATATTGGTGCGTCATAGTTTGTATTGAAGATTATTGAGTGTGGTTATTTTTTGTGTTTCACTGCCCTTCCTCCTCCAAAGATCATCTATAATCCCCCTTCTGGTTTCCCCCATGCTGAGTTTGTGTCCTCCCCTGTACGGGATTTATGTTTGTCGGGTGCCGTTGAGGAAGCCCCACTGGCCAGCTTAGTTGTGGTCAGTCCTTTGGGTGTGGTTTCAAAGAAAAATGGGAGGCTGCGCCTAATATTAGATATGCGGTATGTTAATCAATTCCTAGCTGATATGCATTTCTCCTTTGAAGATCTTCGTGTCAATCCCCAGTTATTTCAGTCCGAGTGCCTTATGTTCACATTTTACTTGAAAGATGGGTATCACCGTATGAGCCGAGCCAAGCTAAAATGTGGCTTAGTCATAATTTTTGGAAATTTCTTTTTTCATGCCAAAGTGATGTCTATATATCCAACTTCAATCATGGAAATTTTGGTGCCCATCTGAAATGTATAATTATGTGCCATGCATACATTGTGCACATATCACAGCATGGCTGGTATCAATGACACTAAGGATTCCAAGACCTTCCCAAACTCCAAGGAAACATGGGACACCAAGTAGAGACAAAGCTTAGCAGGTATGCAAGCAACACAAGAAGAATTGGCACTTGTGTTCTAATTAGAAGATCCATGAAAGAAGAAATAACAGATCTGAATTTTTATAATGACTCATGTCATTTTGTCACGCAATACGAATTTTCATATCCTTCATCATGATGTTGTGACTATTATGTTTCGCTGGGTTGGGGAACGTCGCAACTTACCAAGACAGTCCGTCATACTCTCTCCAATCACCTACGCCAGGATGCATTAATCCTTTCATGTAGCTCGTAGTGCTGTTCCAGAGATCTAGCTCCATTGGTGTACTGCCCTCGCACCTACATATAGGTCCAGTAGACTGCACATTGCTAACAAGCGGCACTGGTTCTTTGTCCGTCCTAGTCCATGTCATTCTCCTTCCCTGCCAAGGATACTGGTAGAAGGCGCCACGGGACAATATGCTAGCAGGTAGAGTCAATGCATCGCTTCGTCGTGTGGCACTATTTCCTTGAAACGAGGAATCCAGTACGCCACGGCATGAACACTAAATTGAAGGTAGCCGAAACAATGTGAACCATCGCAGCAAGAGCCAACTCACCAGGCCGCTTGTCAGAATGATAGTCGGAAGGCTTGTAGACGTCTCCCCATAGCTATACTCGCCGCTCTAGTCGTGGCCACGATAAGAAACACAGCCACTAGGAATGAGCGACTCTTCCTCGTCAAGTAGGTTTTGGCGCACACGGATACAGAATGTAGTAGTAGTAGTAGTAGTAGTAGTAGTAGAATTTATTATTTTAATAGGGAAGGCCCTACAGACATGGCATCCTGCTCACCTCCACATTCTCTAGAAGCTCCATTACGATCTCTGGCAGCGCTGAGGAATACCCCCAGCGATGAAAGAGGGAACACTGAAGAATTGTTGCTCAAACATAAAAAGGCTTCTCTCTTCATCCGCTTGCAAACTGGAAAGTGAATATTTTCGCGATCGCGCTCGAGTAGAATTTTGCCAACTGTGACGTTTTGGTGATTTTCTCGATTTGTTGGCCAAT